TATTCCATATACCGATTATTTGTGTCAGAAGACTTATGGTGGAATTTTCTGTAGAACATTTTTTCCATTAGGATCCATCGTTTAAAATTATGTTTTCATAAAAATCTGCATCAATTATGCAAAATACCCAAAAGTTTCAATTACCATTTCAAGTAATACCTTACTTTGTAATATAGTTCAGTTGCTATTATTATTTCACTGATATAGACAGCTTCTAGGGTTTTCTTATGTTCAGAGACTCATAATGAAATTTTTGTGAAGAATAATTTTTCCATTGCTACCAACCCCATAAAATTATGATTTCATTGAGTTTTTCTACCAACCCCATAAAATTATGATTTCATTGAGTTTTCGACCAAATAAAAAAAATACCCAAAAACCTACAAACAAAAATATATTTTTCATATATATCCAATTTTATAGCTGATATTTTTTCGATATATACGGAAGTTACAGATTTCTTGTGTTCCAAAACTTATAGTGAAATTTTATGTAGAATATATTTTCCTTTGGCGGTAATACCCTAAAATCGTGTTTACCAATAAATTTCGACCAAAACAAAAATATGCCCAAAAAATCCAAGCATAAATTCAAATATCAATTAATGTATTAATATACTCACATTGCTACTGATATTTGAGTCAAATATACGTACCCTACAGATTTCTTGTGTTCGAGGCCATACAGTGAAATTTTGTGTAGAATAAATTTTCCATTGATACCAACCCCATAAAATTAGGTTTTCATAGATTTTTCGACCAAATAAAAAAATACCCAAAAATCCCCAAACACAAATATTTTTTTATATATATCCAATTTATAGCTGCTATTTTTTCTATATATATTGAAATTTTCAGATTTTTTGTGTTGGAAAACTTATAGTGAAATTTTATGTAGAATATTTTTTCCTTTGGTAGTAATCTCCTAAAATCAAGTTTACTTATAGATTTCGACCAATTCTAAAAAATACCCAAAAAATACATGCATAAATTAAACAATCAATTTTGTTAATATACCCATTTTCCTACAGGTATTTGCAGGGTATGTATCACAGCAATCGATTTCCTATATTCTAGAACATATAGTGAAATTTAGCGTAGAATATTCTTTCGATTGACATCATCCCTCTAAAATGCCATATTCTCAGTCAATTTGACACCATGTCAAAATAAAAGAAATTGAAAATTACTCCCCAATTTAATTTGGAATTTATTCGTTTTTTTATTTTTCTCTTTTGACTTTTCATGATTTTCATTTAGATTTAATTGGAAAAACATTTCTTTGTTACATTTCGTAGCGGTTTGCAACAATACAACCACCACAATATTTCAATATTGTCGATTGTGGTCAATATTTATGGTTTCCTTTTATTGATTGTTCGATTCTCCTCTCGTTGTTGCATTCGAATCAATTGTCGGTGTTGTTGTCGACAACAATTGAATTGCTTGGAGTAATTGTAGTTGTTGTTTTTATTGTAAATAATGGAGGAAAACTATGAAAGCGAGGGAGGAGGGAGGGAATCGGAGAGGGGTGTTTAAACAGCATCTATAACTGGGTTCTGCAACTCCCACCCCTACCCACCTCCTCTCTGCTCTCCTCTTTCCTTTGTATATATAATTTCATTTAGCCTTGTTTGGCTGAAATCTATGCCTTAATACAGGCTATTGATTTACTCTACCACTACATATGCGAAGCAATGATGTTGGGTGTATGTGTGTGTGTGAATGTGTTAATATGAGTGATTGTGGTGATTCACTCCCTGTGTGAAGCCAATCCGACTATTCAGACAATTCTTCAATAACACCATAATGTCATCATATTTCACATTACACACACACAAACACAGTCCCACACACATACATTCGCCCATTCATTTATAGTTCAATAGAGCATTTTGTGGTTTTTGGTGGGTGCTGTGTCAAACATGTATAAAAGTGTGCATGTGTGTTTGTGTGTGTGCGGCCCTGTATGTGACTTATAGTTTATTGTGGTAATCCAGAAATTGTTTATTAAATGTTATTTTATTATTATTGTTATTATTGCCTCAATCCATGGCGGATTTGTTCTTCATAAAGAAAAACCAATATCATCACACTGAGCTGAACGGAGACGTTCTTGATGGGTAATATAAAGATGAAATCAAATTAAATGGAAAAAATTGTTATAAGATATTTGATTTAATAATAAATAATGTAATAATAATTTCGCTTAAGGAAAATTGATTTAGGATTTCTATACCAGAAAAAATGGTGAAAACCTAAAAAAAATATTTTGGTACAAATTCCTAGACAACATTTGAAATGGTTAAAAAATCGACCAAAATATAATTTAAGAGGGCTGATTTGGACAAAATATTCTACATAAAAATATAGTATTAGTCACCGAAGAAAAGAAATCGGTATATATAAGAAATTTCACTCAATATTGGTACCAACTTTAGCCCAAAACTGAATAAATATTTTATTTATATTTTTTGGTCATTTCTGAAAATCTGTGTAAAATTCCATAAAAATCGAATTTTGGAGGGTTGATCTCAATGAAAAAAATATTCTACAGGAAATTTGAGTATAGGTCTCAGACCAGAGGAACTTTGTATATACAGCTCATGACCCGGAAAATCGAGTTAAATTTAACCTCTAAGTCGAAATGAATTTTAGTGGAAGTTTTTTTTTGGGTCAAAATTTAAACGGTTTATAAATCGACCAAAAAGTCATTTTAGAGTTTTGGTCGCAATGGAAAAAATATTCTACAGGAAATTTTAGTGTAGGTCTAAGACAAATAGAACTCTGTATATACCGCACATGACCCAGAAAAATCGGGTTAAATATGAGCTCCAAATCGAAATGAATTTAAAGTGGGATTTTATTTTGCTTAAATTTTAAACGGTTTATAAATTGGCCAATAAGTCATTTAAGAGGGTTGATCTCAGTGGAGAAAATATTCTACAGGAAATTTGAGTATAGGTCTCAGAGCAGAGGAACTTTGTATATACAGCATATGACCCTAAAAATCGGGTTAAATTTAACCTCTAAGTTGAAATGAATTTTAGTGAGATTTTTATTTTGCACACATTTAAATCGGTTTACGAATTGACAAAAATTCATTTTAGAGTTTTGATCGCAATGGAAAAAATATTCTACAGGAAATTTAAGTATAGGTCTCAGACCAGAGGAACTTTATACATACAGCACATGAGCCGGAAAATCGGGTTAAATTTAACCTGTATTTTGAAATGACATTTATTGAGATTAATTTTTTTCAAATTTTGATCGGTTTCTAATTAGAATAAAAAATGATTTTAGAATTTTGATCGCAATGAAAACAATGTTCTACACAAAATGTCACTATAGGTTTCCGAACAATAAAAACCTGTCGATACAATATATACCAATGATAAATCAACAATAAATTTGATATATAAAAATATTACCTCTAAATTTTAATTTTTAGGTAATTTTTAAAAATTTGCCCCAAATTCGACCAAAATCTAATTTAAGAGAGTTGGTATCAATGGGGGAAACTATTCTACCTAAAATTTCGCTATAGGTCACCGAACAAAATAAATCGATAACTTCAATATTTATCAGTAGAAAAGCTCTTCTGCATTTGGAATTTGTAAAAGAGTACCTTTTAAATTGTATTTGTGGGTAACATTTAATATTGGTCCTAAACTCGACCAAAATGTAATTTTAGAAGGTTGGCATCAGTGGAAAATCTGTTCTCCGCTAAATTTCACTATAGGCTACCTAGTAAAATAAATCCATAGCTCTAATATTTATAGGTTAAAAGCTCGTCATAATTTGGTGTTTAAAAAATACAATTTTTTACATACAATTTTTAGATGGAATTTAAAATTGGTCTCAAATTCGACCAATTTATAATTGTAGAGGGTTGCCATCAATGGAAAAAATTTTTGCCACAAAATTTCACTATACGTCACCAAAGAAAATCGCTAACTTCAATATTTATCAGTAGAAAAGCTCTTCTCAATTTGGAAATTGGAAAGGAGTAGCTTTTAAATTAAATGTTTGGTTGAAATTTTAAATTATAACCAAAATCGGCCAATTTATGATTTTAGAGGGTTGCCATCAATGGGAAAAATGTTGTCCACAAAATTTTACAATAGGTCACCAAAGAAGAGAAATCACGAACTCCAATATTTATAAGTAGAAAAGCTCTTCTTAATTTGGAAATTAGGAAGGAGCAGCATTTGTGGGTATAATTTTAAATTTGGATCCAAACTCGACCAAAATGTAATTTTAGAAGGTTGGCATCAGTGGAAAATATGTTCTCCATTAAATTTCACTATAGGTTACCTAATAAAATTAATCCGTAGCTCTAATATTTATCGGTTAAAAGCTTTTCAGTATTTGGTTTTTAAAAAATACAATTTTTTACATACAATTTTTGGGTGGAATTTAAAATTGGTCTTAAATTCGACCAATTTATAATTGTAGAGGGTTGCCATCAATGGAAAAAATGTTCTCCACAAAATTTCACTATAGGTTACTAAAACGAAGCACTTTGTAGGTCTAATATTTATCAGCAAAAATCTGTAATTATTTTGTTATCTATATGAAAAGATTTTCTAAATCGAATTTTTTGGCAATATTTATAATAGGGGCCTAAACCCGACCAATTTATGATTTTAGAGGGTTACCATCAATGGAAAAAGTGTTCCCCAGAATATTTCACTATAGGTTTTCTAACAAACGAATTCTGTATCCCCAATATTTATTAATAAAATTTTATTCTTAAATCGGTATCTAAACAAGAGTCATTTTTTTTAAATATAATTTTTTGGTAGAATTCAAAATTGGGCTTAAAGTCGACCAAAATTTAATTTTAGAGGGTTGCCATCAATGGAAAAAATGTTCTCCGCAAAATTTTACTATGGGTTGTCTAATAACGTAAATTCATAGCTCTAATATATATCCCTAAAACCCGCTCCTTAATTTGGCTAACTTTTCCTACAATTGTTCTCCTTTCTCTCTTTTCAGTCCATTCGCTGCCGCATTTGACAGTTTTAAGCTTATCCGGTTGTAGTAAATTAACCGATGATGGTGTCGAGCTAATTGCCGAAAATTTACAAAAGCTAAGAGCTTTGGATTTGTCATGGTGTCCACGTATAACGGATGCCTCATTGGAATATATTGCCTGTGATCTAAATCAATTGGAAGAATTGACATTGGATAGGTAAAGACCCCATGCCCAAAAAGATCTATAAAATTTTTATTAAAATTTCTAATTTTTTCTAGATGCGTCCACATAACCGACATCGGTGTCGGCTATATCTCCACCATGCTCTCGCTAACCGCTTTATTTTTACGCTGGTGTTCCCAAGTTCGTGACTTTGGCCTACAACATTTGTGCTCAATGCGTAATCTGCAAGTCCTATCGCTGGCCGGTTGCCCCCTACTAACCTCCTCAGGTCTGTCCAGTCTCATCCAGCTGAGACATTTGCAAGAATTGGAGTTGACCAATTGCCCGGGAGCGTCGCAGGAACTCTTTGAATATCTTAAAGATCATATGCCTCGTTGTTTGATAATTGAATAATTATCAGAAAAGCTAACCAATATATATTTTTTATTTAACTGTAGTTTTATTATTATAAAAAAATAATAAATATATTTTTTGTCATTAATGTATTACTAATTTTTATATAATTATAAAATTAAAAGAAAAAAAATTATTTAGTTCCTGAAAAAAATAATTTAATTTAGATGGTATATTTTTCTTGATGTTATCTCAATTATTTTTTATATATATTCTACTACACATTTCAAATTAACTATTTCTCTATTAAACTATATTATATATGTGTATGTATATGTTTCTTTCTGTGATTTTAGATTTTAAGTTTATTTGGTTTCAACAACAACAACAACAAAAAATAGAAAACAAAAAAAACTACAACAAAAATATTTATAGACATTATGTATATTTATTTACTTATAATTTATTGTAATGTAGATTATTTTTATAAAGATGTAAATGGAAATACAAAGGTTGAGGAAATTTCAGAAAAAAAAACAGGATAAAAACCGAAAAACCGGTTCAGAAAAACCGAATAACCGGTTCAAAAAACCGAATAACCGGTTCAAAAATCTCGGAAATTCGGTTAAAATCTCTAAATTTTAAAAGCATAAGATCGTTTGGAGTCAGAAAAATAGATATTCGAAGTACAATAATTAAAAATCTGATTAAAAACATCGAGTAACCGGTTATAATGCACTCAAACACGGTTCATAAAATCGTCTAAATTGTTTGAAAAAAAAACGGTAAAAAACGTATAACCGGTTCAAAAAAACCGAATAACCGGTTCAAAAACCGGTTTTAAATTTTTTAATTATGTTTTCTTTTAATCAAAAAAAGCAAAACAAAAAAATTCTTTTTCAATAACATCGATAACCGGTTCACAAAAAATGTATGTTATATATATATTTTTTTTTTTTTTTTTTGAAAAATCACTTTCAAAAAATTTGTAAAAAATTGATAAAAAAAAAACTTGTGGAACGAATAACCGTTTAAAACATAACCGGTTTTTTTTGAAAAAAAACGAGTTATCGGTTCCAAATAACGTTTTTGACAACATTTTTTTAAAGAAAAGATGTTTCATCTTAAAATTTTTTCCAAACCCGGTTAAAAAAATAACCGGTTCTGGAAAAACCCTGTTTCAATTAATTTTTTTTTAATGAAAAACAAAAAATTAAATTAAAAAAAATGTTTCTAAAAACCCTTTTTTATACGATACTTAAAAAATCCATGGAATCTCAAAACAAAAAACTCAAAAACTCGGTAACCGGTTACAAGGAAATAAAGTATTAATTTGATATTAATTAATCATTTTTGATTATTCACTTTTTAATGCGATACATGAAAAAAAATCCATGGCTATATTTTTTTTGGAAAAAACCCGGTTCAAAAAAATAACCGAATAACCGGTTCTAAAAAAACCGGTTTTTTATTTTTTTAATTTTATTTTATTTATTTAAAAACCGTTATTTTTTTTTTTTAAAAAAAATTCTAGTTTAATATTGATAATAGCAAACATATGAAACTCAAAAAAAATCTAAAACCCGGTTTTTAAATACATGTTTTACAAAATTTTTTTAATTTTTTATTAATTAAACATATTTTGATTATACACTTTTTTATACCGTGCATAAAAAAAATCCATAGCAATATTTTTTGGAAAAAACCGGTTCAAAAAAACCGAATAACCGGTTCTAAAAAAACCGGTTTCATTATGTTTTTGATCAAAAAAAATCCACTTTTTTTTGGAAAAAAATCGATACAAAAAAAATCCAATAACCGGACAATACATTTTTTATGCAAATCGTATAAACCGTAACCGGTTACAAGAAAATAACGTTTCTATTGTATATTAATTAAACATTTTTTGATTATTCACTTTTTAATACGATACGTGAAAAAATCCATGACAATATTTTTTTTTTTTGGAAAAAACCCGGTTCAAAAAACCGAATAACCGGTTCTGAAAAATCCCGGTTTTTAAATATTCACTTTTCAATACGATTCATGAAAAAATCCATGGCTAAAGTTTTTTTTAGAAAAAAACCGGTTCAAAAAACCGAATAACCGGTTCTGAAAAACCCGGTTTTTTATTTTTTTTTTTTTTTTTTATTTTAATTTATTTATTTTTTTATAAAAAATATGAAATTCAAAAAATATCTTAAATAAATTTCCAACACCTTTGTATTTCCATTCAAACATATTTTAATTATTATTATTAAATATTCGTAAATTTTTACCAAAGAAAAAAATACCCCCAAACCACTGTACAAAAATTACTATTTCTTTAAAAAAATTAAAAATCAATTTCTTCAACAAAAAAAAATATTATTTAAAGAATATTGAACAAAACCCCTTTGTAGTTTGGAGTTTATACAAAAGAAAATACTACTTAACCTACAAAACTGTTATAAAAAAATAATCACATGATACACTCAAAGAAAAAACCAAAACACAAAAACAAAATTTGAAATGAGCACCATAAAAATCACAGATTTGAAAGGATTTCGAAAAATCTTTACTCACACACACAAAAAAAATGTTGATATTTTTTGTAGGCGATCATATGAAAGAATAAATAAGGATTTTTTCAAATATTTCTATACTACAACAACAACAACAAAAAATAGATAATTTTTTTGTAGTGTAATAACAAATTAAAGTAATGATTTTTTTCTTTCTTTCTCCTAGTGTTACTATCTTAGAAAGTAAAAAAGAAATCAAAAAACTGAAGCCAATGAAATTAAAGCTCTTTAACCCCCCAAGCGCCTAAAAATATGCTTTACAATTTGTTACTTACTTGTGCCCTCGTTGTGGGGGTTTGTTCAATGTTCTTTAAATTGGGGAAAATTAAAATATTTTTTTTAGTGCTTAAAAATAGTTAATATCGAGAAAATAAAAAACTACAACAACAAATTTTTCTATTACAACAACAACAACAAAATATATGAAATTAATAAATATCTGCGCCAACATCTGTTTCAAAAAAAATCTAAGCTTTAAATGACATTTACAAAAAATCACACTAAGCAGAATAAAACATGCCAAGGAAAAATGTTCGGAAAATTAATTTTGAATTCCAAAATTTGGAAATCGGAATATTTTTCCTTTGCATGTCTTACAAAAAAATCGAGCACATCAGCAATCAATCACTCACTCACTGACTCAATCACTCACTCATACATACCAAAATAAAAAAAGACCCGCCCTTTTTCAATATTTTGAAAATAAAAAAAATACAACAACAAAAGAAACTATTTCTTTACTTACAAAACAAAACACAACAACAACAAAAAAAACTATTGTAGTAAAATAAAAAAAAAAAAAGAATTTAAATATTTTTCAAAGAGGACATAAAAAATCTTAACCTAAAAACATTTCAAAAAAAAAATAATCTGCATAAAATTTCTAAAGCCCAAAACCAAATGACCAACAAATTTACTATGAAAAAAATATGGAAAAAAAATATTACAACAACAAAAATAAATATTGTAAACAATATTTCCCCGACTATTCCCATTATCCCCCCGCCTCCACAAAAAAAAAACATTTCACAAAATTCTCAAAAAAAAAATTCAAACCCAAAAAATAAAAAAAAATTAAAAGAATGAAGAAAGAATGGAAGATTGTAAGAAAATTCTAATGGTATTTGAAGAAAAAAATATTAAAAAAAAAATTGAAAAAATAAAAGACTTTTTATCACAAAAAAAGACCGATGGAACAGAAACTTAACATTAAAATAACAACAACAAAATATATTAACTTATATAACAAAAAATAAAATAAATTAACATACAAAGGCTTAAATATGCATAATTTAAGATAAACAAAAAAAAATTTAAAAAAAAAACAAAAACATACAACCACACACACACACAAATAATTGTTAATGTGAAAAATTAAAAAAAAAATATTGAAAAAAAAATAAAATTAAAAATAAATTAATTGATATATGTTTGAATGGTATTGACCAACAACAGATTATTTATCTGTTCCGATGGATAGTGAAATGAAAAGAAAAAACGATATTTTAAAATTAAACAAAAACAACAACAACAAAAACATATTTGAAGCTAAATACAAAAAAAAACGAGAAAGAAAATTTAACAAAAAAATAAATATATAAATAAATACAGAAAAAAAGAAGAAGAAGAAAAAAAGCAACAACAAGTGTTTTATTTTAAATGGGGGTTAGGGAAAGCTGAAATTTATTTAAAAAAAATAAAGAAGTTGAAAAATATTTTTTTTTTTAAATCCAAATCGAAATCAGTTTATAAAAAATATACATGTGAGCTATATATAAATCTGAACCGATTTTTTCGAAACTTAACACACATCATCCTAGGCTTAATTCAGTACAATATCCCAAATTTCGTGCAAATCGTAGGATATATAGGGGCTTTAGTGCACCATTTACCTAAAATCGGACAAAACTATATATGGGAGCTATATCGAAATCTGAACCGATTTCTACGAAATTTCACACACATCATTCTAGACATATTTCAGAACGCTATGCCAAATTTCGTGCAAATCAGTGCACCATTTACCTAAAATCGGACGAAAATATATATGGGAGCTATATCGAAAACTGAACCGATTTCTATGAAATTTAACACACAGCATTGTGGTCCTAATTCATTACCCTATGCCAAATTTCGTGCAAATTGATGGATATATAGGGACTTTGGTGCACCATTTCCATAAAATCGGACGATAATATATATGGGAGCTATATCTAAATCTGGACCGATTTTCACGAAATTTAACATACATCATCCTAGACATATTTCAGAACGCTATACAAAATTTCGTGGAAATCGAAAGATATATGGGGACTTTGGTGCACCATTTATATAAAATCGGACGAAAATATATATGGGAGCTATGTCTAAGTCTGAACCGATTTTAACAAAACTTGGCATACATGAATCTAGACCTAATTCATTACGCTGTACCAAATTTCGTGCAAATCGAAAGACATATAGGGACCTTGGTGCACCATTTACATAAAATCGGAC